TTGGTGGCATGAGATGTGACCTGGTATTGATGGTTTTATGGGCATTAGATGGCCCACAGGCCGAGGTTTCCTACCCTGGCTCTAGAGACAGAAGAAAGCATGTAATAGCAGGAGAGTCCAGCAGAGTGTCCCTCCCACAAGAGGTCAGGCTTTTTCTCACTCTGTGTTGACCAGCTCCTCCAGGTACTCAAGTTTAGTATATGAATTAAATACGCCCTTGCTCTCTTTGGACTCAATCTAATGAATAGACTTTGTTGTTACTGATGGTGGTGGTGATGGTGTTAGATATTATCAAATTGGTTCCAACCCATAGCAATCCCATGGAGAAAAGAACAAAACGCTGCCCAGTCCTGTGTCAACTCCATAATTGTTGTGTTTGAGACCACTCTTTGAGCCACTGTGCCAATCATATCATCAAGAATATTTTTCTTCTTCACTGACCCTCTACTTGACCAACCATGATGTCCTTTTCCAGGGACTGGTCTCTCCTGATAGCATGTCTGAAGTACATGAGACAAAGTCCTGGCATCCTCTCTTCTAAGAAGCATTCTGGATGTACTTCGTCCAAAACAAATTTGTGGTTCTTACTGTCCCTGGTGTATTCACTATTCTCCGCCAACACTAGAACTCAAAACCACCAGTTACTAGGAAGTCTCCATATAATTTGTCCAGCTTTCACATGCATCTGACGTGATTAAAAATAACCATGGCTTGGCTCTGGTGTTCACTTGGCTCAAAGTGACATCCTTGCTCATTAACACTTTCAAGAGGGCTTCAGCAGCACATTTCCCAATGCTACCCATCATTTGATTTTTTGACTACTTCTTCATGAGCACTGATGACAACCTCAAGTCAAAGGAGATCCTTAGCACCTTCTCTCTTTTCTCCACAACCATGATGTTGTTTATTGGTCTAGATGTGGTGAGTTTTCTTTTCCTTGGATTGCGTTCTCATCCGTACTGAAGGCTGCAGTCTTTAATTGTCATTAGTACATGCTTTAAGTCCTCTTCACATTAAGCAGGCCAGGGTGTATCATCTACATGTCAAAGGGAAGCTTTCTACCTGTCATAGTAATCTTCCTTCCGATCTGGATGCCCAGTTCTTCGCCCAGTCTAGTTTCGTGGATTATTCACGCAGCGTGTACATTGAATTAGTATGATGAAAAGATACCACCCTGACACACATCTTTCCTGATTGGAACCAGGAAGTATCCCCTTGGTTCTGTAGGAGCCCAAGGAAGTGTTCTGGAATTCTCATTCTTCCCAATGTTATCCAACGTTTGCTTTGGTCCCCACAGTTGAATGTGTTTGCATAGTCAATAAAACACAAGTAAACATGTTTCTGGTATTCTCTGCTTTCAACCAAGATGCATTCCTTATTCTTTGTCCTCTTCTGGGTACAATTTAAATTTGGGGCCGCTCCCTGTCTGCAGCTCCCTACACTGCTACAACCATTTCTTAATTATCTTCAGTACAATGTTGCTTGCATGTGATATTGTTCAATAATTTATGCATTAGATGAGTCACCCTTCTTTAGAATGGACACAGATATGTATCTCTCCAGCCAGTAGACCAAGCAACTGTCTTCCAGATTTCCTAGCATAGATGAGCAAGTACTTCTGGCCCTGCATCAGTTTGTTAGAACATTTCCTGTGGTGTTTTGTCATTTCCTAGAACCTTGTTTTTTCCTAAGGTCTTCGGTGCAACTTGGACTTCTTCCTTCAATGTCATGGATCAGATCTTGATTATGTTCCACCTCTTGGAATCGCTGAATGTCAACCAATTATTTTGGGTACAGTGACTCATCTCTGGAAGCTTCCGACATCCTTCAATAGTTTGCCCTCAGAACCCTTCAGTGTTGCGGGTTCTCTTAGATACACAGTTGGTTGACTGAAGGTGACCACCCGCATCCCACACACACAAGCACACCATAAGGTAAAAGTTAGTGCTCATTTTCTTTAGCAACGTCTAGGGAAACTTAAAGGAGACCTGCTGGCACAGCGGCCATTAGTAGGACGGCTGACCACAAGGTCAGCCGTTTGAAAGCACCAGCCAGCTCCTCGGGAGAAAGACAAGACTTTCTTGCACGAACTAACTTTGCTGTCATTGTTGGAGGGAAACTGCTAGCAAGAGTCATCTGCAGCCGAGCCAAAGCCAACCCCACTGCCATCAAGACCACTGTGACTCAAAGTGGCCCTCGGGGACAGAGCAGAACTGCCCTGTGCGTTTCCAGGACTGTCGTCTTTACAAAAGCAGAAAGCCTCATCTTTCTCTGGTGGAACAGCTGGCTGGTTCGAAGTGCTGGCCTTGTGGTTCACAGGCCAAAGCCTGGGACTAAGAATTACTTCCCAAGACACATCCCCAGTCCTCCCCTAGCCTGGGCATGCAGCTGCCAGCAACCCAGCATGGGAAGGCAGGGGTCTTCCCAGATACAAGGAACTTAAGTTGCTGTTGCACCACCACCCTTTCTTACTTGGGACTTCCATCATTACACCTGAAAAATTCATACAAATACGTTTTTTTCTTTTTTTTAAAATGAAAATAAAGGGGAGAGCGCAAAATGCTTTCATTTAAGTCAATAGATTTTACACCTGTTCAGCTATGACACATACAAAGAAATTGGTCTATTCATTGAAGATGTATTTATTGTAATCCTACCAGATGCTAGACACTGTTGTAGATATTGGGGATTCCACTGTGAACAAAACAGTGTGAAATCCTTGCTCCCAAGAAGCTTACATTCTGCTGAAAGGATTAGGTCACAAACAAGTGAAATATAATATCGACAGTTCCTGGGTTACAAAAGAGATCTGTTCCTAGGTGTATCGTTAAGTGGAAGTCGCATAGAGTTTATCCTTACTCCAATATAAGCAAAGATTCCTGTGGTGTACGGTTAAACTCTCCATGGTACTGCAAAGGAACCCACCAGCTTGCCCATGGGAGAAAGATGTAACCCTCTGCTTCTGGACCGATTCACACCTTGGAAATCCGATGCGCAGTTAACTCAGTTTACTCTAAGTTGAAATCAAACTGGTGACAGTGGATGGTCAGTGCAAGAAATGACCAGCGCCTTTTCAATGATTTCAAAGCTGCCCATGCAGCAGGTCAAGGTGAGGGTGATGGAAAATCTGTTGTGAGTGGGGGTTGGTTCAGCCCTTTCAAAGTCAAGGCAAATGTACTTAGCATTAAAGAGTAAGTACTGGTTGTCCAAAGAGCTCGGGTGGCATCGTCGGGTAAGGGTTGGACTATCAACAGCAAGGTCTGAGGTTCAAGCCCACCAGCCACTCTGCAGGAGAGAGATGAGGCTGTCTGTTCCCATAAAGATTGATAGCGACGGCAGTGGCAGTGGTGGTAGTAATAGTAGTTATCCTATCATCTGAAACCTGAGGACTACCTGCTGCCTGAAGGGCCTCGGCTACTGGTAAAGCAATGATGGAAAAACAAGTCCAGGGAGGGGCCTAGGGAGGGAAGGCTGGAGGGAAGAGCAGGGAGGACCACTTTCAGATGACCCTGAGCACAGCCCAGCGGGAGGAGGGTGGGGAGGCCACATGGCAATCGGAGGGAGGAAATGAAAACAGCCAGAATTGTCAATGTGCTGGAAACGGCCCCAGACCAATTGTGCTCTGGTTCTTTCTGCCCCATCAGCCTCAGTGGTCACTCTCCTCTCTGGGCCTGTTCCCACCTGTTTAAAATGAATGGGACAAAGAGGGGCCTGATCCTCTCCAACAACCTTGTGGCTCTAACTTTCCTGAGTGTCTGTGTTCTATGGAGTCTCTCGTGTCTTATTCAGGGCAGAAGTACACAAACATACATACGCACATCTACATAATGCATGTGTGTGTAACATATAGAAAGGAAAGAAAATGTCATAATTCACTCTCTTAACGACATACAACACACTCTAAGACCTTCTATTAGTTGCTGTGTTCTAGGTCTTTTTTTAAATGTACTTGCACCTACTCAAGTGTTTCACTAACCACGAATAGGTCTTAAGGAATATTTTATACATAGTGAAATTGTCTTGATTCTGGAGCCAAACTAAACATCAGCAAAAACCCCATCCTCACCCGAAAGAGAGAAAGACTGACTCAGCACTGGCCCCATCTGCAGCCCCCCGCTTTATGGCACCCCGAGTCTCTGTGCCCACCATCCCCGACACCGGAGGCGGAAATGAGGCTAACACATCAGGCAGACAGCTCTGGCCTCAGAGCCCAACGCTTCCCCTGAACCCCTTTTTTTTGTGATTGTTAATATTATCTGTGCTTTTTAATGTTCTGAACAAATGTTTATTATAAAACAATTATCAGTTTATAGAATTATTACAAAGACGGCCAGAGTTCCCCGTTACCCCGTTGCCTCTGTCAGGATCTTGGATGAAACAGGATAACCGTCCTAATGAATGAGCAAAAACCAATACTCTATTATTCAGCAAGGGCTGTACTTTATTCAGGTCTCTCCCCTCCTTCCCTAATGTCCTTTCTGCATCCCGGGGTCCCATCCAGACTGCCACAATCCATGTAGTAATCATGCGTCCTTAGGATTGTGGCAGTTTCTCGGAATTCCTTGGTTTCTGCTGACCTTGACAGTGTTGAGGGTTGCCGGCCAGTATTTTGTAAAAAGTCTCTCCGTTGGGAAATGTCGATGTCTTCTTCCTGATTAGCCTGGAGCAAACTGCATAACCACCCTGAGACTTGGGTTTCTTATCAGTGTAGTAATGGGCATGGCGATGAGGATTAACTCATCACATATACCAGGAATGGCCGGTCAAGCATTCACACTTAACAAATTGGGGGGGGTGGGGAGGGGCCAGGGTTGGAGACGGAGGTAAGAGCTTCATCTCCCACCCCTAAGCCATTAGACTCTAAGGTGAGTGACAAACCTCGACACTGTGACTGCCAGTCATTATTTTAGCAATAAACGCAACCGGCGGGAGAATATATACGGCCAAACAGCTGCATCCCTCTCCTTCCTGCTCCTGAGCCCTCTCTCTCCCTCCTTCAGCAAACTATATGGAAATGGATTTGAAGAAATACAAAGCCATGCATTCAATGGGACGACGCTGATTTCGCTGTAAGTATGTGCTTATTTCCCCAGCTCATGAATAAAAATGAAACATTACGCTGGCTACCAGATCACATTCCATCTTCAGCAACTAACTCAGGGTGAAAATAAACTTTCAAGTGGCTAGTCCCCGGTGCTTCGCCCGTGTTACTAAGCAACTGACTGGCTGGAAACCCCAGAGCAGCCGGGTTTCAAAGACAGATGCAGCCTCAATACATTGAAGTCGACAGTTTGCTGAAATATTCAACACCCTCCTTTACGCCTCCTCCATTCCACAGCCTCCCTCTCCAGCCCCCTCACTCAGGTGGGTGGTGGTGTAGAGGCAGCCCACGTTCAGAAAAGAAATGCTTCTCCTTGGCCCGACAGCAGAGATGTCGCATAGCACCAGTGACCAGCCTTCATCGGCGCCAACAATTCCCCTTGGAGAACCCCCATCTGGGGGAGCTTTGGGGAGCCTCCAGCTCGTTTTCACAGGGGATGGAAGCTCCCCACATCCGCAGTGTTTTTACTCTCTCACTCACGGTCATCGAGTGGATTCCAACTCATAGCAAAGCTCCAAGACAGAGTACCGCTGCCCTGGAGGGTTTCCAAGCAGACTGTGGCCCAGCAATGGAAGCGAACCCCCAAGTCTGTCTCCTGTGGAGCAGCTGGGGGGTTCAAACTGCCGACCTTTTGGTTAGCACCTGAGTGTTTAAACACTGTGCCACCAGGGCTCCTTTCAGTGAGTCCCTGGTATGGGGTTTGCATTCTAAGGGCAGGAAATAAGTAGCGTTCAAAACCAACAAGCAGAAGTTCAGCACAACATCTACATCCATCTCCGTCTCAAACACCTTCCTGAGATATGCCCCTGGGCAGAATAATGGCATGGAAGAAGCCCAGCAAGGTTCTCAAACACCCTGCTTCCTCAAGCAGGACAGGAAAGAGAGACTTTGGCTGTCCCCCAGAGACCTGCACAGGTCCGGAAGGCTTTCTCTGCCCTTCCCAGAGTGCCCCAGCGCAGCGCGCTTTGGCCGGAGTGTGAGGCTTCTCTCACTGGGTTTCAGAAGGTGGTTCTGCCTGGGCCTCTTCCACCTGGAGGGTGGAAAACGTGATCGATTGATTGAATTTACTTTTCTTGGCCAGGACAATCTGATCGATGGATTGGATTTACTTCTTTTCTTTTTTTTTTTTCTGGCATAGGCATCAGGATACAGAAAGAGCAGGGTTCTGGTTGAACCTGTAGCATGCTCTGTCCTGCGATGTGAACCGTTAGTTTGGTCTGGTCATTACTGGGATTATTTGTTCATCAAGCCATAACTGAACACAATGAAAGCAAACCAGGATAAGAGGAAGACCCGTGGAGTGAGGGAAAGGGGATTTTCTCTTGATTTAGATTTTCAACAGCAATGGACTCGGACAACCTCATCTCCTAGAAAATGGCAATGCCTCCCGGGGGATGAGGCAATGTGAGATTGATGGGGCATTCTGCTGAAAAGGCCGGGGGACAGCGCCGAGTCTCAGCATGTGGCAAATAGCGACCCAGGGAGTGAGATGCTGTGCCTCCTGCCGCTTTGAGATGGCAGGTGGGCTTTGGAGTTGAGCGGGAAGACCGTGAAGAAGATGTAAAGTGATGGGAGGAGGCCAGGTAATAACCAGGCATCTTGCGCGGAGTGGGGGGCTATGGGTTGGTTGCTTTGTTTTTCCATGTCCCTGAGGTGCCCTGGTGGCTACATTATGGTTACATATTGGGCTGCTGTGTCAGTCTGGGTAGACTAGAGAAACAAATTCATAGACACTCATATGTGTATAAGGAAGAGCTTTATGTACAAGAGCAAATTACTGAGAAACCATCCCAGCTCAGTCCAAATCAAGTCCCTAAGTCTGATATTAGCCCATATGTCCAATACCAGTCTATAAATTCCTCTTCAGACTCATGCAACACATGCAATGATGCCGAATGCAGGAAGATCACAGGCCAGTGGGTGGATCCAGGGGCAATGGAAGCATCTTAGTACTGGCAGTGGTCTCCGTGTGGCTCCTTCAGCTCCCGGGCTCTAGCATAGCTCCATGTGTCTTCTCAATAAGTTATTTATCTCCTTAGCACCTCCAAATGAGGTCATCAAGCTGTGACCTGATTGACAGGCTAAACTCCACCCCTTCACTCTTAAGTCTCAACTTGACAACAGATTATGTAACAATCACAGGTCCCCAGGCTTGAAATCTTCACACCAGCAACGGATGTGCTTACTCTCCAGGGTTTTCCAGCATGCTCATTGAGGTCATAACCCTTCTGTGGTAGGAACAAAGTGCCCCAAGGAAGGCTGGCAGCCTGAGCCCAAGGACTCCTCTCCTAGCTCTCTGGTCCACCTAGAGTAAGGCCTGGGCTTGCAGAGAGCTCTCCCTCTGGGAGCAGGCTGCCCTGCAGGACAAGGGTGAGCCAGGCAAAGGGAAAGCCTAAGGTGGTACTGCTGTCCCTGCCCCTGGCTTCTCGCCTGGTCTGGAGAGCAGTGGCCCTCCGCCCTTGTTCCCACAGTACACTTACCTGGTGGTGAGCACATACACAAGACAGACAGCCGGGCACCCGGAATACCAGGCACTTGCCTAATCAGATATGCATGTTCTTGCCCACTGAGAGATGCATATTTAAAAGCAAGAGCATGCTGGCAATATTGTGAAAGAGATAACTTTGAGGAGGCCCCATTTATTTTCTTTGTAAATATTTACATACTCCCACATACTATTATTTTAAAACAACTCTAGAAGCCATAGGAGAGGAAGATGCCTGAAAGGCACAACTACAAGCAGGAAGCCCCTCCACCCTCCAATGTTGGCCACGTGGAGGAGGAGCTCGCTCTTGCCCAGTTGCAGTTTCTCAGTTTCTGCCCCACCAGCTTGACCTTTCCCGGTCCGAGCTCCTGACCACTCGTGGCTGAACTACCCAGAGGAACACCCCACCTACCTGAGCAGTGGCATCACACGTGGGTGTTGTGGGGGGAAAATGCCAAGACCCGATTCCAAAATCCAAGAGCCAACTTTCTTTTGCCTACTGGTATTTGATCTGAAGTCCTGGCTTATGCCAATTTCCTTGGGCTCCAAGCCTGGTCTGGTGCATACCCGTGTTTGCAGCTCTGGCTGCCCTTTAGGGCCATCTGTTGGCCCATTAAATCCGGACTCAGTGAGACCCGGGCATCTGGTCTTTTTTGAGGCTCCGCGGGTGGTCCTCGTGTCAGCCAGGCTTGAGGACCACTGCTGTATGTGAGTCAGCACCAAGGAAACCAGAAGCCAACACACACAGGTCACCATTGCAGGAAGTGTAGGAGCCCTAGGGGCACCATGCGTACAGCACCTGGCCACGAACTGGAGGGTCCTGGTTCCAAGCCTCCAACTGCTCCTTGGGAGATGGACGTGGCGCTTTGCGTCCAGAAAGATTTACAGGCTCGGAGCTCCTACGGGGCAGTTCTACTCCGTCCTGTAGGGTCACAGGGAGCCAGAATCAACTAGAAGGTGGTGGATGTGGTTTGTTAGGGTTTTGTTTCTTTTTTTGTGGTTTGAAGAGCAGTTAGTCTCCTGGTAGGAAATAGTGAAATTTTGTAAGGAGGAACGACCTCCACATGGTCAGGACCTCTGTCCATTTCAAGGAGACCCAGATAACAGCTGTGAAGTGAAGTGGGGCTGCCAGGTGCAACTGCACAGGCTGACACTCGGACCACCCTCCCACCTCCTGGGGGCCCGTTCACAAGGTCCCCTTGAGTGGGGCAGCCCGATGGCCATGGGGTGAGGCCAGATAACCTTGAAACCCAGCTTTAAAGTCGGCACAGGGCTCAGGAAAAGGGGAAAGCAAAGGCTATACAATGTCAAGGGAAAGAGGTCAGTGGCCAAATATATGCCTCTAACGGTCACCCACCATTTCCTCACCTGGTGGGCCGTGGAGTCGCCTGGGCTCTGACAGGGTCAATAGGGCTGCCCCTGGCCGGGGCTGAGGAGCCCTCGGAGCAGGGATCAAGCTTTCCTTTCTCACTGAGAGGGTGGGGTGGGAAGCACCTTTGTGAGAGGAAGCACAGGGGCTTTAACTGATGGTAAACCCTGAATGGATCCAGGAGAGGAAGGTGAAGATGCCGAGACCCCCACCAACGGAGAGGGGGAGATTGCAGAGGAAAAGGGATGCTGGGCTCACTAGTCATTGCTCAACTTAGCTCCACTTTCCCAGAGTCACGTGCCCCCCTTTCTTCTGCTAGCCCTGCACCCCCCACAGGTTGACCCAACGCTTGTGTGCGGGCAGAGCGAGGATGCTTTGCGCTAGTACAGGTGGGAACCCACTAAGGAAGCTGTCTTTCTCCGCAGGGAGCTCAAGGAAAACGTCCACCTGGCCAAGATGCACAGCGCAGCCTTCCGGGGAGCCACGGGGCCCAACATCTTGTGAGTAGAGCAAGCGGCAGCCTGGCCTCTGCAGCGGAAAAGCGCCAGGATGGAGCGCTGCTTGATGACACCCCTCACGGGAGCCCAAGACCAGCGAGCAGACTGGCCACCGGCCTTTGGCTGGACAGGGCTCTCTGGAATTGCGAGAGGACAGCCAGGTCCCCTCAGTTCATGGGAACATCGTGGTAAAGTAGAGGGGTGGCGAAAACGAGGAAGCCCTCGCTGAGATGGCTCGACACCAGGCTGCCACAGGGCCCTCAACCAGAGCAGCCATTGTGAGGCTGGCACAGGGCTGGGCAGTGTTTCCTTCTGTTGTGCATAGAGCCGCTGTAGGGTCCCACTCAATGGCGCCCAATACCAACAGTGTGACGACACTTGAGAGAGCTGGGGGTGGCGTGGGGGTGGAGAGAACACGGAAACCCTAGCCTTCTGACTAAGCAGCTGCAGTGGGACTTCGGGGCCAGACACTCGGCTCTAACTGGGTGGCTGCCTCACCCGCTCTGCAGAGGCACCTGGCACCACATCGCGGTCACTCCACTCAGGGCGCCTGAGCGAGCCCTCTTGCTAGAATGACGGTGAAGAGCAAAAGTCCTCCCCTTCAAGAGTTTGTAGCCGGGCAGGGGAGGCAACGGAAAAAGCAGTCAGCTGGTGGGTCACTTTAAAATGAGAAGAGTACGGAAAGATGGTGAACAGGATAGCCCAGTTCGCCCATTCAACAGATATTTTCTAGACGGGCAAGGTGTGTCAGGCACTGTGTTAGACATCCCGGGAACCACAGCGCCTAGGAAAAGACAGACAGCCCTGATTTCATAGAACCAGGGAGGACTGTGAACGAGGTAAAAATGGCAGCTGGCTGAGGGCAGAGAAGTAGAGTGGGCATAACATGTTTAAGAAGATGGTATGGGAAGACTGTCCTGGAAAAGTGTCATCCGAGCAGACACCTGAACTAAGTGAGGGAGCAAGGTGTGTATCTCAGGAAGACCATTCAGCAAGAGCAAAGGCCCTGTGGCAGGCACTTGCCTCGTGTCTTAGAAGAGCAGTCGTGAGACCAGCAGCCTGGGGAGTGAGCAGAGAGGAGCGTCATAGAACATCGGGACAGAGGTGGCAGAGAGCCGGGTCCTGTGGGACCTTAAGGGCATCTCTACGGACTTTGAAAAGGGAGGCTGTGGACTGAACCAGTTCTTCTCGCTCCTCCAGCTCCTGCTAGCCTCATGCCCTGACCACTTCCTACCTCGCACCACTGTCACCCTTCACTCTACCTCCCATCTCTTGCCTGTTGTCAACTCGGGACTCCGTGGATGCCATGTCAATCCCCAGCCCTGTGTACTTCCTAAGCCCCTCCACCACCACCTCCTACGTCTACTTCCTAGCTCCCACCACTATCCATGTGTGAGTTCATCTACTTTCTAGTTTCTGTTACTATCTATTCTGGACTCTACCTTTCTACCTGCCATCACAACCCCTGATGCTTCAACTCCCAACCCCTCCTACTAGAACCCCCAATCCTGCCTTCTGCCACTATCAATCCTAACGCTCTACTCTCCACTCAGCTTCATGACAGGCTAGCTGGGGCTTCCACTACCTTGTGGCTCTAGCCACTGAGGTCTCTGCTGTCTTTCAGCTTCTCACTGTGCATCCTGGTCCCTCTCTATATGTCTCACCATCAGAGGGCACTCAACTCAGAATCCGAGAGCTGACAGCAAGTTGGCCATCTGCCCAGGCCACCAAGCAGCCAAAGAGAGCTGCCTTTGAGTCAAGCATGGGGCACGACTGACAGGGCAGGGCAGTCTTGGCTTAAAGAGCAGCCAGGTCAGCCTGCTTAGAAATCACTGTGGGCACTGCATGCCCTTGTACTTGTCCAGAACTCTGGGGCCAAGACCCACTTCCCAAGCAGCTGTTTGCACTACACCTCTAGGATTTGAATAGTCTCTAAGAAAGCATTATTTACATCCAACCCCCCAAAATATTTCCCTTGCTGACATGTTTTTGATTGCAGTCACAAGGATGCAAAAACAACAGAAGTTGGTGACCCCACAGGTGGAGGTGCTGAGGCCAATTCTCCCACCTTGATTCTTCCCCGAAGGCTCCCATGAGTCCTTCTGTGTGGTCAAGTTCCTCTGTCCACCAGTCAATGACTGCCCCTTCCCATGTGTGGGGCACTAATGGCTGAGGGGCACTGTGCTGCTGGAACAGTTTCATATAGGGCACCAACAGCAGCCAATAGAAGATGGAGAGGAATTTTTAATTTCCAATCAACACTTCCTCCTGACACTAAACTTGCTTGGATTTTTCTTTGACCTGGTCTCTCAAGTCTTGTTAACTGGAACATTCAGTGCTTTGTTCACAAAGCCTGAGTTTTCCACCCAGCTCTGCCGGGCCCGGCCCAGTCTTTGCCTGCTTTGGAAACATGACACCAGTTTGTCGTTAAAGAATGGGCATTCTGCTTCTCGGGTACCAAACAAACAACACACACACCAGAAAAGCATGCCTCCGAGTCAATTCGGATTCATGGTGATCCTACTGAACAAGGTAGAATCGTTCCTGTAGGTTTCTAAGACTGTAACTCTTTATGAGAATAGAAAGCCTCATTTCTCCCCTGCAGAGTGACTGGTGGTTTTGAACTGTTAACTACTACACCACCATGCTCCTCGGTGGCCCTTACAAACAAGCCCAGCCTGTGCTTTCTACAATCCGTCCTGCTGGGCTTGCTCAGTCAAAGACCAAGGCATCTGAAGCCTCCGTATCTCCTCCTGCGTAAGATACATCAAGGCTAATGTCACTTGTGCCTGCTGTATTCTAGAGCAGGTAGTTTTAGGGTTTTGTTTTGTTTTATCTTAACCATTTACAGAGAAAATTGGTTTTCCATCCCACAATTCATACTCATTTTGTTTTGTTTATTACAGTGATTCAGCAGATAGTGTTTTGCACTTCTGCTAAGAGGGAGGAGGGAGAGGACAGAGAATAAAGGAGAGAGGGAGGAAGTGCTAACAAACAGATGGATGGATGGATGGATGGATGGATGGATGGATGGATGGATAGATGGATGGATGGATGGTTGGATGGATGGCAAGGACCAAGAGTTACACTCAAACTTGAAAAAAACAATAGGTGCAAATGAGAAAAAAAAGAAAAACAGTGTTGCTTCTTTGCATTCAAATCTCTCTGTGAATGCATTGAAGGACGAACAGAGGAGAGAAACAAGATGGAGCAAAGGGGAGGGATACCTCCGGACGAGGATTGACCTTATCACTGTGCACTGTGGGGAGGTATCATTCGGGAAATGCATTCTATAGGTAAATAAATGAAAAAGCCTTTCTCCTCTTTTCTGTTCAGGGACATTTCTGCTACCAAACTGCAGGCCTTGCCTAGCTATGGGCTGGCGCCCATTCAGACCTTAATCGCCATGTCGTCCTATTCGCTAAAAACATTGCCATCGAGGGAAAAATTTACCAACCTCCAGGATGCCACGCTGACTTACCCCAGCCACTGCTGTGCTTTTAGGGACTGGCCCGCCAAAGTGTAAGTCAAGCACAAAAGGTACAATCTGCTCAGCTGTGTCAGTACCCTAGAGCTCAAAATAGTTAATCGGGTGAGGGCTCCCTGCCCCTTCAGTCCCTGCCTTCCAGGCCCACTCAGTCACCAGGGGGAGCTTTCAGATGGACAAGAAGAAAATGAGCAGCCAGCTCCCTCATGGAAGCTGCTGCCAAAGAGTCCAGTCCCCCGGCAGCCAGAAGGCCCCGGAGCCAATTCTGGGCTAATTGAATGATAGCCTATCTTAGCTATCTTAGCGACTGCACAATGGAGTGTGAAACTGGCACAGCAAAGATCAATCAGCTCTCTTCCTGATCAGAGAGCACCATTTCTAAACAAGCAGGGGGAGGCTCAAGAGAGTAAAGTGTACCCAAGGTCTTCATCTTTCGTTTTCGAAAGGGGACACAAAACACTGCGGGAAATTTGGTTTTTCTTGAAACCATTTCTTTCCTCGCAGAAAAGTGTCATCCCTGACAGAACAGGGCCCAGCCTGAGTGTACACAGAGCGTTGGCTCCTGGTTGGTTTGTCGCTACTGGAGCCATCTCACTGGCTTACTTTGATCCAAACAGAATGGCAAAGTGCCAGCACTCATTCTTTCCTTAAAGCAGTGTTTGCCAGACCTTTGGGGTTTTTGTTTCTTTGTTGGCTTGCTTGTTTCTTCAGATGGTAGAGTGGGTAGGGCTTTGGGGTTTGAGGTAGTTTGTTTGGGTTTTTTTTGGTGGGGTGCCGGTTGACCCAGATGCACAATAAGAAATACTTTTTTAAAATTTTACACTGCAACCCAGTACATGTCGCATATTTAGCTGAAATATAATAAAGCAATACTTAACATTTTTATGTGTCATATACTCAGCTGTTGTCTCATTTAGTTTACCTGTTCTGTTCCATTGTTTTGTTTTTGATGCCGGTCTTGATGAATTCTAGTGTTTTCATGACCCATTAGTGGTGGAGTGGTAGTGACCTGGTAGGCTGGGAATTGCCAAGTCAGCAGCTCAAAACCACCAGTTTCTCCATAGGAGAAAGAAGATGGGGCCTTTCTACCCCTGCAAACAGTTCGTCTCAGAAACCCACAGGGTGGTTCTGTTCTGCCCTCTAGGATTACTGTGAGTTAGAATTGACTCGATGCGTTTGGTTGTTTTTGTTTTAGTTTATTCCGCTAAGAAGATCCAAGAATCTCATTGCTCAGAAGATTCTGACCCATAGAAGCATAGAACAGCGTAGAACTGTCCTTTTAGGTTCCTGAGACTGCCGGTCTTCACCGGGTCAGAAAGTCTCGTCTGTATCCTAAGGAGCGACGGCCATACTGCTGACCCTGTGGCTCACAGCTCAGCATGTAACCCATTACTCCACCAGGGCTCCTGAGCCTAAGGATTCCGTGGCAATCATTTGGATAAGCTGCTGAGAGAGGGACGGGATGCTGCTGCTTTTGTTTGGAGTCAGGCTAACGATAATGAATCACCTACTATGTGCTTTGCATAGAGCTTTCATGGTAGCTAAAAAGATAAAGCTCTACTGTCCTCAGAGAGCAGGCATCCTGGTTGCACAGTGGACTGCTAACCACAAGGTCAGCAGTTGGAAACCACCAGCTCCTCCTCAGGAGAAGAATGAGGCTTTCTATTCCTGTAAAAAGATACAGTCACAGAAACCCACAAGGGCAGGTTTGCTCTGTCCGTTAGGTCTCTGTGAGTCAGGATCAACTCAATGGCAGTGAGTTTGGTTTGGGGTTGGTGCTGAGAGAGCCATGCACAATTGGGCCTAAACCTGAGCTTCAAAGATATTTGATAACTTAACCAGGTTCCCAGCACTGTGCGGAAGCCAGAAGATGCAAGGATGAGTCAGAGTTTATCCCCACCCTTCTGGAGGCCCATCTGCGTGTGGGTAACACACGAGGAAACCACATCCAATACAGCAAATGTTATGCTAGAGCTGAGAACAGCGAGCATGGAGCAGAGAGGCAGAGCCACTCCCATAGCAGCAGAGTTTACGGAAGGCTTCCTGGGGAGGTGGCTTCCACTGAACCTGGGAGAACAGGTTGGCTAGACAGTGAGGCAAAAGTCTTCCAAGAAAGCGTTCTGGCCTGTGTGGAGGCAGAGCAGAGAAAGCGTAGGAAGAAATGGTTCTAGAACTAGCACAAGATGCTTCTGGGTAACCCATGTGTCTTTCCCCTTCACTTTTTTTAAAAATTGAAACAACTTTAAAATGGGTCAAAAGGGAGATCAAATGATAGTACATTTTAGCCTGACCACATCTGCTATCATCGACTTCACGATGCTCTCTGATAAAAGGATTATTCACATCCCTGAACTATGATCAGAGGGATGCCTTTATTTTCACAACAAAGGGGTCACACACTGTCCAGGACAAAGTGCACCTCAGCTTCTCATGCCAGTTGACAGGAGGGACTACTTCTGATATGGGGGTGGAGGGAGGGGAGTGGCTTATATAATTGTGGATTTAGGTGCCTTGGCTGCTAGCAGAAAGGTTGACAGTTCAAACCCACCAGACAGCTCCCTGGAAAACATGGCAATGCACTCCCCCAAATATTACTGCCTAGAAACCCCTGTGGAACCTTCTTCTCTGTGAGTCAAACTCCACTTGATTGCATCTACTGTCGACACAGTAATGATACAGCAGTCAATATCAGAGCAAGCAGGGACTATGGTGACATGGGTGTCATTTGATTAGAATCACAGGCCTTCACTGGCTCCCTCTGTGTCCCTAAAACTCGAAACCTTGGGCGCCTATAAAGATGGAGAACCTGAAGCTGGGCCAGTGGGGTGCTTGTGCAAGCTCTGAGTCAGCCCCCCTGCCCTGCAGCTGGTGAGCCCAGATAATACACACAGCTGCCTGGGCAGTTGGCCCCAATGGCCTCCTTTGTATCTGCGATTGCCTTTCAGTAAAGATAGAGAGGCCAGAACCTAGGACTGTTACCTGAAGGCCAACAAGAGCCACCTTTCCTGTGAACTGAAGGACTGATCATATACTAGCTCTCTAAGAGCCAGCTTCAAACACACACACACACACACACACACACACACACACACATTTCATCCATGTTGGAGAATTTGCGAGTCTAGTAGGTTAGATCTAGTCTAGTAGGTTAAAACATCTAGCGAGTCTAGTAGGTTAGATAATTCTGCTATAAATCCCGCCTCTCAGCTTGTATCCCACGCTTTTCCTAAGAAGAATGAACAGTGGTCTTGGTGGTGGAGAAGAAGATATAGAGGGGGCTCTCTGAACTGTCTCCTTTCTCCTCCCGCCCCAGGAAACACTGAGGTTCTCACGGCTCGCCCACCTTTCCCCTCATTTTTTGTCCAGTTTCCCTTTGTATCTGTTTTGGGTTTCATCTGAGGAATGTTAGGATCAGGCCTTCTTTAACTTTCTGGACAGGCCCCTCCTGCTGCCCCACCCACCACCCACCCCCAAACCCCAAAGACACACACACACACACACACACACACACACACACACACACACACACACACACGCCTCCTGTCTTCTGAGAGAGAAAGGTGGAGAAGTGGGAAGCACCTACATGTGTATGTTTCTACACCTAAGCGAAAAACCATGATAAAATCCATGTCATAATATCAGGTTGGAGACCCAAAGCCGCGGTGGGGGGTGGGGGAGCCCAAGAGAGTTGCTTGCTAATCAAGGCGGTGTGGACAGGAGAGTGACGAAGCCCCAGCCTGGCTGCACAGGAAAGGGTTCCATGAGCAGTGAAAACCCCCATCGGATATGACGAATGTCCGCCTCCTCATCTCCAGAGCCCACAGGAAGCACTCAGGACTCGGGAACCCTTTATTAAGCTGGGGGCCTCTAATGATGACTCTCTCTCCCCAGGAGCATCACAGTTGGGGCAGGGGTGCGGAGCGGGATGGTGGTGTAATAGATCATGTGCATGAACACAGCATAAATAGAGAGGATCAGCTTTCGTTTAAAGCCCAGAAGCTCAACGGCTGAGGGTGTTGTTGGGTTTCTTTGTTTGCTTGTTTTTCCTTTCTTTCTTTCTTTGTCTCTTCTCTTTCAGGCAGAATGTTTCCTTTTCCATTTTCGAAAACTTTTCCAAACAATGCGAAAGCACAGCAAGGCAGTCGACTAACGAAACGCTGTGAGTATCTGCATGCGAAGGACGGCAGGACCAGTTCTCTAAGACCCTGTTCTCTGCGCCCCGATGGTTCTGCGGATGAAAGTTGTGACCCGAGGGGATGTGGGCAAAGCCTTTCTTAATACAGTGAACCCTCGTTGATCGCGGTTAATCGGTGCTAGACCCTACCGTGATAAATGAAATGCCGAGAAGTAGGATTCCTTATTTGTAAATCAAATATTTTCGTAGTTAGAGCATAGAGGACATGAAAAAACACCCTTTAGTCACCATGACACTCGTATTACCCAATTTATTAAACGAAAAAGGGAAAATACAGTAAAACATTTTGGACGTTACCATGATCATTTATTATTTTATTATATTATTTATGGCATCAAGCGTGTACAGTATGAGCCAATCAGTGGCAGTAATGACAGAGCATGTGCTGTTACGCAAAAACCGCGATAGAGTGAAGCCGCGGAAGTCGAAGCGCGGAGTGGCGAGGGTTCACTGTACTTTCATAGTTTAAAAATGGGAACCTCCCTTTGCGAGTGTCGTCCAGCCCCTCAGGGATCTCTTTCAACTGGTGGGGGAGGGGGGAGGGGTAAAAAAATACAAAACTCTTGAAAGTGTACCATGCGATGCTCATTCGGGAGTTCGATTCTCCTCAGAAACTAGAGCGTCCGTGGCAGGTACTGGCCTGGCACTAAAGGCCCGGTTGAATGGTAGCTTCGGCTGTAGGAATTGTCACAAGTCACCTGTGGGCTTTCCCCAAGATCACCGTGACTCAGACACACCTTCCAGAGCAGCCACCTCCCGTCAGCGCAACTCGGTCCTTTGTGATCACGGTGCTCCTGGGTTTAAAAGGATTCCGTCTGAGTGCGGGGTGGGAGCACCGTTTCTGTTCTCCCGACCAATGGGCACATATTTCCCTTTTGGAAACACTGGCTGCCCTGGCATGTCCGCTTGCATTCAAGTGCAGAAGAGGAGGGCTTAGAAGGTCATGCCAGTGTCCCGCTGCCACGTTTGTAGAGATGAGGACGTTTCTTCGTTGCCCCTCTGCTTTGCAGATGCCCCTCTGCTATTCTGCACTAGTCTCCATTCCCTCTTCTACATCTTTTTTTCTCTTCTTTATTTCCTCTAATCTCCAAGTTACATACAGGCACCAGATGGGCTAATAGATTCTGGGCATTGGGGCCCTCAGAGCTGGAAACAGACTCATTGGCGGTGACATTTCTGAAACACCGGGTGTGCCTGGACAATTTCTTTTCCTTTCTGAAGCCTTTCTTCTTCGTTATGGCTCCTCATCTGTATGAATCGGCAGAAATGCCATTTTTCTTCCAGATCGAAGGTGAAGGGAGTCGTTGAAGACTGTGAACGTGGGAAATCAGGAGCTTCTGCCTCCTTTTCTTTTCTTTCCTGTAGGTCTGGTGTGACTAACCCCCAGAGCTGTTTCCTGCACGCTGTCCACTTTTCTCTCGTGGTATTCTCTCCTGTCGGATGCTGGCCCATGTAACTCTTAAAGCAGCATGGCTTTATTCTCCTGAACAGGAAACCCTTTCTGGGTATAGTCAGTGAGCCAGCCAAAGTGCATTTTGGGAGCAGGGGGGACGTTAGCCCCCCAATCCTCCTCATCAGCCTCACCCAAGCCCACCCACAGGACCATACATACTATCTGCAGTTTGCTACCCAACACTGCTTTCAAACAAACCTCCTAATCTCCCACAACAACCCCCCACCCAAAAGCAAAACAAACAAACAAAAAGCCTTCCCTGAAACCTACAGACAGGCTAAGCAAAAGGCATGCTCCATGGTGAGTCTTCTCTCTCCTGCTACCTGGCAGATGACCATCCACAGAGATTCTAGGGCATCCACCAAGCCTTACCTGCTCTCCCCAAGATACCTGGCCTCCCCGCTGCCTGGCCAGCCTCTTCCCCTCTCAACTTTGTTGGGACTGGAGCAGTGGTGCTACTAACAATCCGATGCGCTAACTCTCGTGGGAGCCCAGCCAACTCCTTCACAGTCTCACAGCTCAACATTAAAGACGGCTCCGGCTGGGCTTTGTCAAGCGTAGTGCTGCCTCCGGGACCATCCCAGGACTGGTCCGAAGACAGAGCCCCAAGGAGAATCGTCACCAGAACCTGGCCCATATGGCCAGGAAAAAAAGGAACAGGGCAAAGACTGGAAGGGAGGGTCGTGTTTGACCTACTGTCGATATGAATTTATTCGGAAAACATAGGAGAGGGTTTTTTTTTTTAGTTTTAGATTAGTGCTTCTAACCACTGAACTGATTTTGATAAGGAGCAAGTAGAGGAAATCAAGACAACAGCTGGGAAGGTTTCATTTGATTTAAAAGAAGCGAAAGTAAAAGGTCATTATTTCGTGTAACCATCACCCAGGAAGCTTGCTTCAAAGGAAGGCAGATTCCTGAGCTCTGCCTCTAGAGATGCATATTTTTTCAAAACCATTTTATGGGGAGTTAATACAGATATCATATCATTCCATAGTGCAATCACATCAAGCAGGATTGTATAATTGCTACCACAATCAATTCCAAAACATTCTTTTCCTTCTTGAACTCCTTGACATCAGCCCCCTTGTACCCCATCCCACCCCCAACCACCACCAGCATTGTAGCCCCCAACCCACCTCCAGGTATTGTGATTTAGGGTTTGGGGTCCAACCAGGAATCTACATTTTAATGACCACACCTTGTTGAAGAGCACTGACTAGGGGGCTGTAAAGAGGGGTAAAGGCCTCTGGCGAGGAAGACCTGGTGCTGCCACTTTCCCCTTTAACCTTGGCTTCCTTACCAAGTCAAGGAAGCAGTCAATAAAATGAGTTGGTCTTGAAGGGCCCTTTTAATGCCAAGAAATGAATGGCCCATTTTCTTTAATAGCTCTTCATAACCACCTTATCTCTTTAAAGGTAGAAAAATACTCATAACTACATTGGTGTGTCCAAGAGCTAGAGGCAGGGGAATGTGCTATTTATAAAGATAATGAAAAGACCGCTACAGTTCCCTGGCAATCTCCTGCCCACGGCAGCAGCCCTGCGCTGGTTCCAAATTGGTGTGTCTGGTGTCCAAGCACCTTTTTGGAGCCTCATGTCATACGCTTCTTTCTCTTTTAAATCTGCGCCTCCCCCCTCAGAAATTGTTTTGGTCTAATGTATATTTCACTCACCATATTAGGTCCACACGTCCTAATATACAACCTGAGAGGTTAAGCTTTGCCAGCAGAGGAAAACCTTCTTTTCACGTGTGAGGGATCCTAAGGTGAAATGCACATTTGTAATGGCCCTGACAGGAAAATAGCAGCCAATTTCTCCAGCCCGCAAGATGGAATTAGCAGACTGTGGGCCAGGAGAAAGCGTGTTGGCTTTACACACATTGAGCTGTATGCTTATTGTCCTTGTGGCCTCTCAAGTCCTTTCAGAGCCCAGTCACCCCTCCACCTGGCTTATGTTTTTTCACTGCACACACATTTATGGAATGGCTACTGTGGGCCCAAAACTGTGTGAGGTACTGGGGTTGTCAGAAATGAATATCCCCCGGGCCCCCCACCCCACCCCACCCCATCTTCAAAACGCTAATAGATTAAAGAAGAGCGAGCTCACCATCACGGATTGCAGTCAGACTTGATAACCACAGGTGGATTAAGTGCAAGGCTGGCCAGAGGGAAGGTAATAAAGTTGGGGGGTGGGGTAGAGAATCAAGAAAGGCTTCGCACAGGAGTTTATCCTTAAGCGTAAGGAGGAATTTAATAGAGGAGAGGAAGGAAATTCCAAAGCAGAGAAAGAACGCATGCGAAGGCAGAGAGGGGAAAAAGCAGAGCTAATTCAGAGTCACCAGTTACTTCACTGCCGAAAGTCTAAGTTACATAGAAGAGATGCAAGAGATAATATGAATTCTTAGCATGTATTGAACACAATTTATATCAGGCATGCTTCTAAATATTCTGCATGCATTACACCTTAGCACAATCCTACAAAAAAGATATGATTATCATCCGTATTTGGCAAATGAAGAACTGGAGGCATGGAGACGTTAAACGGTTGTCCCAGATTTGCATAACCTCTACAGGAAGGTCAGATCATTATCCCTATTTGGCAAATGAAGAACTGGAGGTTATGCAAATAGTTCTCCCAGATTTGCATAACCTCTGCACGCCTGAGCTAGGACTGGAACCCAGGCAGTGTAATTCCAGAGCATAGGAACTGAACTGCACACCTTTCCTGCTAGAGTCTCTGGGTGGTGCAAAGGGCGAATGCACTAACCAAAAGGTTGGCGGTTCAAGTCTACCAAGAGGTGCCTCAGAAGAAAGGTCTGGCCATCTACCTGCCCCAAAGTCAGCCCATTGAAAACCCTGTGGAGCACAGTTCTATTCTGACCCACATGGAGTCTCCATGAGTCAGAATCAACTCAACAGCAACTGGTTCCTGGCTAGCTGCTTCTCAAAGATGAGATTAGAGCATAGACAGAGGCCAGCTGTAAGCAGACATTGGTGATAATCACACAGAGTCTCAGACCTAGTGAAAGTTTGAGTTCGGTAAATGAACATAATAGGTTTGTGCTGAGGAAAGGTCATTACCCCAGGAGAACTGTACAGGATGGGCTAGGAGACTGCTGCCTATGGAGGAAGGCAGCCAGGAAAGAAACCATCGGGCATTGTGCTGCAGGGGAGATAAAATCCTGAATGCAGGCAGTGGCCAGAGGACAGGGCCGGAGAGGGGCTGTCCCGTCCCTCGGGATGGAGCCCCTGGTCAATCCACTCTCTGTCCTTGACACACACCCCTCAGGCATGACTACTTTCACAATTTCTCTCTTTTGTCCATGACGATACAAGATTCCCCTTTCTCTGCTCCCAGTTTCCACTAATTGAGCCTTGATTTCCAATTATCAACTGGGCTATTTGATCACTCATGGCCTGAACTTGCAAACGGAGAGCGTGGTGGGGAAAACTGACAATTTTCAACCATGCTCATCTTACGACCTCACTTGTGTTGTACCACCAACAGACAGCTTGGCTGCAGTTTGGCTGGCAACCAAGTGAGATAAATAGCTATGAAAAATGCTAAGAACGTCTTCTTTTGGAGTTAGCATGCATATATTGCATATATTGTGTCTCTAAATTTGTTTTGCAGAGAAAATCATCCTTGGTAAGCAGCTTCATTAAGTCCTTGAATCAACGTGTAAAATCTATTAAGGAAAAAGAAGTCTGCCTAGCTTCTGGCTCCCTTCTTAAGGAACTTGTAATAAATACTGAGTTTTCAATTAATTTAACAAATAAATATAAGACTCGGGCTGTTGTTTCCTCTTTTGTCTTAGGTTTTTAAAAGTAAAAGCACTAAGGATGATCCTTAAATTTTTTTAATTAAAAAAATATATATATTTCATCTAATAATTTTTAAATATTTATTCTTTAAAAGTTGCTGTTTGAATGTTCGATTTCCTTTTAAATAGTTACACTGTCATAGGATCCACAGAGCATACCATTTAATCGTTCAGCCCTATTAAGAAGAGTTGCACAGTCTTCCCCACAATCGATTGCAGAATCATTTTTGAAACCTGTCGCCCTCCACAGCGACTTGTTGCTATGAAGCCAAAATATTCTCTTACAGCTACTCTGCCATTTTGGAGAATGATCTGAGTGGCTGGGATTACGACTACGGATTCTGCTCCCCGAAGACTTTCCGCTGCGCCCCAGACCCCGACGCTTTCAACCCCTGCGAAGATATTATGGGCTACGACTTCCTCCGGGTCCTGATTTGGCTGATCGGCATCCTGGCGGTCACGGGCAACATGACAGTTCTCCTGGTGCTCCTGACCAGTCGGTACCGACTGACGGTGCCCCGTTTTCTCATGTGCAATCTCTCCTTCGCCGACTTCTGCATGGGGCTGTACCTGCTGCTCATCGCCTCCGTGGACGCCCGGACCAAAGGCCAGTACTACAACCACGCCATTGACTGGCAGACGGGGCGCGGCTGCCGCGCCGCAGGCTTTTTCACCGTCTTCGCCAGCGAACTCTCGGTCTACACGCTCACGGTCATCACGCTGGAAAGGTGGCACACCATCACCTCGGCGCTGCAGCCCGACCAAAAGTGGCGCTTAAGACACGCAATTCCGATTATGCTGGGAGGCTGGCTCTTCTCCACCCTGATCGCCGCGCTGCCCCTCGTGGGGGTCAGCAGCTACATGAAAGTCAGCATCTGCCTCCCGATGGATGTGGAGAGCGCGCTCTCCCAGGTCTACATCCTCGCCATCCTGATCCTCAACGTGCTGGCCTTCATCGTCGTCTGTGCGTGCTACACTAAAATCTACTGTGCGGTGCAGAGCCCAAAGCGGATGGCGACCAACAAAGACACGACGATTGCTAAGAAAATGGCCGTCCTCATCTTCACCGACTTCACCTGCATGGCACCCATCTCCTTTTTTGCCATTTCAGCAGCCTTCAAAGTGCCCCTGATCACAGTGACCAACTCCAAAGTTCTCCTGGTTCTGTTTTACCCCGTCAACTCTTGTGCCAATCCGTTTCTGTACGCGATTTTCACACAGGCATTCCGAAGAGATTTCTTTCTTTTGCTGAGCAAATTTGGCTGCTGTCAACGCCGAGCTGAATGGTATAGAAGAAAGGATTTTTCAGCTTATGCCTCCAGCTGCAAGAATGGGCTCAGTGGCTCTCATCAGCCTCCTCCGCCCACTCTGAAGTTGTCCACATTGAACCGTCAATATAAAGCTGTCTTAGAGAGGACTTGCTGCAATTAGTGTTCACGGTTACATCAGTGACCACGTTATTGGACTGTACCCCTATCTGTGAAACTGCCTGTACCAGCAATTTAGCACAAAGAGTTGGATTTTGGAAATTATTTATTCTTAAGCACATTCAGCTGAAAAAGGACCTCCCTCCCCCTAGCGCAAAGTATGAGCGATGGCCCTTTGTCAGTCTGAAAACTATTTTTCAATTGTACACGATGACCCAAAATAAAGACATCGAGAGTGTTGAGAAATGTTTAGAGCAATTTGGGGAGAGTAATTTTATGTCTGTTGACTCTGATTTTTAAAACGGAGGTGGTATTTTGTATGCCTTTGCCTTTACCTCGTTCTAATTAGTTGTAATAATTATTTCATTTTTGCAAAACTGTTAGTTCATAGCACATAAAAAATACACACACATGCGCACACCCACAAACACGCAGGTCCTTCTTGACAGATAGTTCCAGTAGCGTACTCTAGTCTTAAGAAGCACTATCCAATTTGGTAGCTGCTAGCCACATGTGGCTAATTTTTACTAAAAGTAAATAAAATTAAAATATGAATCATCAGATAAACTACCGCATTGTAACTGCTCAATAGCCATTGTGCTTAGTGGCTAGAGAACAATTTCGTCCTCAAAGAAAGTTCTACTGCGTTGCCATGTTTCTAAGCCTTTCATTTATCTTCTTTCTAGATTGTACTTATTTAAATTAATGTAAGGTAAGCGTCTGAAAGGACATTTCTGTATCCTACTAGGCACATTTGAAGCTTATTTAGTATTAATCCTCTCAAGAGCAATGAAATATTAAAGTGTAGATTGTAAGTTCCTTGCAAGTAGGGACCGTATCTCCCTCAGTTTCATTTCCCTGACTCCTACCTAGCCCCAAACCTTGGCAACATTACAAGGCAAGTGTGAGAACTCCATTGAGGTTAATGACATTTATAAAAGAAAAATATGTTTGATTTCTAAGACCCCATCTTTTATGGAAGTAGAAGAAAATATTGTTTCGTGAATAAAAAATAAAAATACTATAAAATTCATCATCTTTATCTTTAGTCAATATCAAAAAATACATCCAAAATAGAAAGTGTTTTTATTTACTAGCACTGACTCATACAGGACAGTGATGAGGTGGTTTCAATTGTAGTGCTTTATATGTTCTTTGGACTTTAAGAAAAAATATCCTTTGGGAAGTTCCTTGAGGGATCGGAGAACATGGTGGGGAAATCGGCGTCTCCTTGCCCACATCCTCCCACACAGCAGCTGCGGCCAACTTTGACTGAGCTGAGTGGCCTCAGCCGCTAGTGGAGCAGCGCAGCAGCCCCCCGCAGCCACCAAACCCCTTTCCCACTGTCTTGTCATGGCGACCGGCAGGCAGAGATGCGCTCGGCCAATGTGCATTCTTCCATCACACGCTGACCTTGACAAAACTGCCTCACCAGGGACCTTTTCAACCAAAGATGTGGTCTGGAGTTAGTGGGAGTGGATGTGAAAACAACTGAGTGTGCGATTCTCAGCACGTCGTACATCTAACACGGACACCGGCAAAGTTATGGGGACCTTGGAGACCAGATGCAAAAGGTGTAAGGTCTGACTTTCACAAGACGCGGAACACTGATAACACACTGGGGACAGAAATTGCAATTTTGAAGACCAGATTTGCCAAAGGTTAGAGTTGACATTGCCCCTTCTCACCATTCCCAAGAAAGAAAAATGGTAAAATCAAATCTTCCTACAAGTGTATAAATCTTGGTTGTGATGTTGGCCCTTATGAAAATATGCAATTGTGTTTATGTTCCTTTTGACATTTGATATTACTGTTGAATAATGAATCAGATCTGTGGATATTTTTAGCTGAAGTTAAATTTGTTATATTTAATTATGATTTGAAATACTTTTGGTATCCCAGAACATATTGTGAATATTTCATTAACCAATTAATTATTAACCCATTTAATCTTCACAAAATTCTATAATGTAAATATTGTTATTAGTCTTATACTATCAAATTATCTCAGCAAAATACCCAAAATCAGTCCATTTCAGCTCAGCAGCGCTTAGGTTATCAATCTTTATGTGTTCCATTTCATTTTGATGACTCCCAATTTTCCTTGAAGATGGATGTCAGAAGAGACTCTGAAACTTGCTCTTGAATGCAGAGTAGCTAAATCAAGTAGAAGAAACGATGAAGTTCAAGAGCATGCAGTGCTGTGAATTATTTAATGTGGTTCCTCTAGCCAGTCTCTTGTAACTCTCACCAAATGACTTTTTCCTGAGTTAAAAAAAAAAAAAGTGGCAGAAGATACTGATAGGATTCAGTTGTGAACACATAGTGGCAGGAATCATTGTGATTGCTATCCTATTGGGTATGAAATGGGCCATCGCAGAAGCAGGAAGAGGGGACTCTCACTGCCCACAAGAGAGAAGAGCTAGGAGGGGAGAGTGTCTTCTGGCCCCCGAGATCCCTGTGCATTGAACCTCCTTGAGCCAGGAAGAGGCCTGACACCAGAACAGTTGCCGAGAAGCACCAGCAGAATAAGGAGCCAGAGTATTAGATACAGGATAGGAGGGTCCACCCTACAGAGAATTAATGCTGAGTCTTTGGGGCAGAAGGCTGGCTTGTGGGTAAGGTGCCTCTGGACACAGAATTCAGAGAACTGGGTTTGCTGACCCACAGAATTAAAGCGGAGTGCCCTGGAGTTGAGGCTCACTGAGGAGTTGCATGCGCTTTGGGCATTTATTAGCAGCCCTAAGAGAACTTTGTAACACGTCTTGACTGAACAACTGTATTCTGAGAAGTTTTCACCTGAATTATAACCTGTTAATGTCCATAATCAACCCCATAATCATGAGCATTGACTGTGAGCTCTGTGTGGCCATTGACACAACTTCTAGAACCAAGTGCTGTGGGAAAACTAAAAGGTTTAAAAGTGCTGGGTAAGACAGAACAGAGTTGGACAGACACTTCAAACAAAGTAAAGTCTTATAATAAAATGTGCAAAGGCCTACAGTCAGAAAGCCCAAAGGAAAGGACACCTGCAGCATTACTCAAGCTGAAAAAATTTTTTTAAAAACTCAAGTTGCAGTACTAAAGGATCTTATGAATATAAAAGTGAGTGAGTCAGAAAGCATCAAAAGAAGGTGGGAGTTTGGTGAGTCATGTCCAGGGTTTTAAAAGATTGAGAGTGGACATCAAGATACAACTATTAGTATCCTAGTCATCTGAAGCCAAACAGTAAAAAGGAAACCAAAAAATCCAAAATAGATAACTAGTCTTTAAGACATAGTCTACACAAACCAAGACCTTATCTATCCTGTGGCCAGAACTAGATGTGCCTGGCTACCACTACTCAGGGACACAACAGAAAGATCCTGATAGGGACCAGTGGTGTGAGTGGCAAAAGAGGGAGGGTAAAGGGAGAATGAGTAGGAAAGAGGGAACCGATTACATGGAACTGTGTGTGACCTCCTCCCTGGGGGATAGACAACCGAAAAGTGGGTGAAGGGAGACATCGGACAGGGCAAGATATGACAAAATACCCATTTATAAACTATCAAGGGCTCATGAGGGAGGGGGGAGCGGGGAGGGAGGGGGAAAATGAGGACCTAATGTTGGGGGTTTAAATGGAGAGAAAATGTTTTGAGAAATGATGTACAAATGCGCTTTACACAATTGATGTGTGTATGGATTGGGATAACAGTTGTATGAGCCCCTAATAAAATGTTAAAAAAAAAATCCTGATAGAATTCTTCATAAAAAATGTGGAATAGAACTTCAAATTCCTTTTCTTTAAAGACCAAAAAGCAGAAGTAGGGGACTGGTTGAGACTAGAGGACTCCCTGAGGCTGTTTTCCTAAGATAATCTTTAAACCTTGAGCTGAAACTAACCACTGAGGTCACCCTGCAGGTAAATAACAAATTGGTTTATAAAATAATAAATATTGCTAAGTGCCATGTTCCTCTTAAAAAATCACCTTTATGAGACTAAATGGTCAATAGACCATTTAAAATTTAAAAAAATGAGAATATAAGCACACAGGGAAACTAGATTAAGAGATATAGGACAACCAAAATGGAAATGGTGAGGATGTTCATGAATTGTGAAGAATGTAACCATTGCCATTGAACAACTTGTGCCAAGATTTCTGAATGGGAACCTAAACTGTTGTTAAAAGATATATGTTTGTATATGTCTATAATTTTAAAGATAAGAAAATGGAATGAATACACAATCACAGTATCTGCCCCACCACCACCAAAAAAAACCCAAAACTGGTCAGTGTTCGATCATTCCAGGAGGTGGTATCTGATGAAGAACCAGTGGTACTGAAGGGAGAAGTTCGAGCTACACTGAAGGCGTTGCATAAAGCAAGGCTCCTGGGACTGCTGGAATACCAATTGAGATGTTTCAACAAACTACCCTAGTGGTGTAGTGGTTCCTCACTGGGCTGCTAACCATGAGGTCAGCAGTTCAAAACCACGACCAGGAACAGCTCCTCGGGAAGAAGATGAAGCTCTCTACTCCCATAAAGAATTAGTCTGTGAGCCCCCCAGGGGCAGTTCTATCTGGTCCTGGGGTCACTATGCATCAGAATGCACTTGATGACAGCGAGCAGGGCGCTCTGGAAGCACTGCTGTGTCTGTGTCAAGACAGGGAGACGAGACGGCGGCTTCTTGGCCAGCCGACGGAAAGTGGTCTTTATCTGTGTCCGCTGGAAATAAAGGTGACCCAAGGGGTGCAGAAATATCATTACCATCACATTCAAGCCAAATTTTTATGAAAATAATTGTTTAAAAGGTTACATCCATATCTCAATAGGGAAGCTACCAGATATTCAAGCCAGATTCAGAGAAGGACACAGGATGAGGGACATAATTGATGTCAGACAACTCTTGTCCGAGAGAAGAAAATACCAGGGATATGTTTATGTTTTACTGCCTATACAAAGGCATTCAACTGTGTAGATCATACCAAATCAAGGCTAACATTTCAAAGAATGAGAATTCAGGTGCACATAATTGTGCTCATGCAGAACTTGTACACAAAGAGAAGTTGTTTGAACAGTACAAGGGATAACAAACACATAGCTTAAATTCAAGAAAGATGTCTACCAAGGTCGTGTCCTTTCACTCCTGAGCAAACAATCCAAGAAATTAAGAGTATATAAAGAAGAACATGACCCAAGATTAGAGGAAGATTCATTAATAACCTGCAATATGTAAATGACACAATCTCGCTTTGTCAAAGTAAAGAAGATTT